ACTAACGTGGCTCAGAGACGGAAAGCAGACAACAACTGATGTGACTTCCATTGAGGAGCTGCCAAATGGAAACTGGCTCTACCAGATCCATTCCTTCTTGGAGTATACACCCACACCTGAGGAAAAAATCTCATGCATGGTGCAGCATGCAACCCTCATGAAGCCCCTGATATATGACTGGGGTAAGAGAGTATTTAATGCCACCTGTATCTGAGCTTTAGATTAGAAAATTACACAGTATTTCATTAGTTACTTCATTTTACAGGTTTGCACATCTAAATCAACTCAGTGAGAGCTTAAACATAAAATATAGTTAGCTGATACTAAATACAACTGAACCAAATGCAAATTTTCTGCTTTTTGTTTGCGTAAAACAAGAAACTTGTCAGCTTAAGACAAGAGATGTTCTAAAAGGTGTTTCATGCTATTTTGGACAGGTTATCTTAAAGCAAATTTACTTAATAATAAGTAAATTCCACTTACATTTACTCCAAATGATTTAAGTACATTTTTCTACCGGTATTTTCAGTCAAGTCAAATTGATTATCATTCAAATGTGACTTTGCTTTATTCTTGGATCTATACAATCAGCATTTCTCAGCATGTATTCATTTGACATTTTATGAGAAAACATCAACGAGGAATTCACAGAGTAGAAGGCTCTGTGAATTCACACATTAAAAACGGCCGAGAGGATTTAGCGACATAGCAGTGATGTGGTTAACACTGTCACCTCACAGCAAGCAGGTTCCTGGTTTGAAACTCCTGGTTGGCCAGGCCTTTCTGTATGCAGTTTCTCCCTGTGCGTGTGTGGGCTTCCTCTAGTTACTCCAGCTTCCTCCTCAAGTCCAAAGACAAGCATGTTACTCTAGGTCAGCTGGTACTTCTAAACTGGCCATCCACATGAGGAAGATTAATAAAATACTGCATGAATGTACAACACATTGTAGTCTAATGCACTTTAGAGTTATTAATAAAGTAAAAGTATTGTCATCTGATTGACTCATGATTCATATATTTGATATATATCAGTGTAAAATATGTAGATGTAATCTGCTGCTGCTGATAAATGTGTTTTCAGAACCATCGCCTGACTCAGGGAGAGATAAGATTGCTGTTGGTGCAGCAGGGCTGCTGCTGGGTTTGGTGTTTTCAGTTGCTGGGCTCATTTACTACAATAAGAAATCCAGTGGTGAGAGATTCTTTCTAATAAACATAAAACAATACTTGTGATAAGATTTAATGATAAAAACGTTGAACCTTTCTGCAGGGCGGGTCATGGTGTCAACAACCGAGGTAGATGTTTATATTTAACAGTTATTTTTCCATCACTTTGAAACAGATGTGGAAACATCTACCAGACTATAATAAATCTCTTTTTCTTTTTTCTGCAGGTTTTATACCCCGATGACACACTTTGAGTCGGAGCAGCCTTTTGGATTTCACTGAGATTTTGGTTCTGATTATGTAAAACGTTGTGGTCGACTTGCTTGTCCTTAAACTGCCGTCTGAGCTTTTCACAGATGCACAGAGACTCACATCATCCACATTTTCTCCTCACACTGTAAACTTGATCCAAACTCTGAATCACATCAGCTGAGCTTCCACCAGGAAACAGCTGTGTACTGTTTCCTGTCTGCTTCATTTTGGAAAGAAGAATTTAAAAAGTGAATGTAATATGATGTTTTGTTTTTTTTAGCTTACTCTACCGCCCTCAAGTGGCCAAAAAATCAGTTAATGCAGGTAAACCTTCAGCACATGTCGAAAATGGCAGCTGTAAAGCACTGAGGGGTGAAAACAGGAAATGGTCAGTAAGGGCATAATAATCACTAATCACATGGCAGCATCTTAATGTACTTAGGCATGTAAACATGGTTAAATCAAAAGGGAGACAGGTGATTTAACCAACTTGAGTACTTCAAAAACTATTGATGTACTGAGATTTTTCCAACTGTCTCTGGGGTTTTACAGAGGATGGTCTGAAAAAGAGAAAATATCCAATCAGCGCCAGTTCTTTGGGTTTAAATGTTTTGTAGATGTTAGAGGTTGAGAACAGAATGGCTTTGGGCTCATAGGAAGGCCTCAGTAACTAAAATAACCACTCGATACAACCGAGGTTTGCAAAAGAAAAAGCACTGCAGCAGCAGAAGCCCACACCGAGTACCACACCTGTCAGTTAAGAACAGGAACAGTTCTTACAGGCTCAAAAGTGGACAATAGAAGATTTGAAAACTGCAGCCTGGTCTGATGAGTTGATTTCTGCTGCAAAATTCAGATGGTAGAGTCAGAACGTGGTGTAAAAAACATGAAAGCCTGGATCCACCCTACCTTGTATCAACAGTTCAGCCTGCTGGTGGTGTAACAATGCTTGTGATATTTTTCCAACAGTATAACCATGGTGTACCTTCTGCTGGCTGCTTCCACCAGGATAACACACCATGTCACAAAGCTGAGATCATCTCAAACTGTTTTCTTGAACACAAAATTTAGTTCACTGTCCTCAAATGGCCTCCAAGTGAATAGATGTCAATCCAACAGAGAACCTTTGGTATGTGGTGGATCAGGGAATTCTCTGAGGCATCTGTGCCATCAAACATTAAAGCAGCTCTGAAGGCGATGTGATACTAGTAAGTTATACCTTATAAAAAGGCTGCTGAGTGAAAAATAATGTGCTTTTTGCAAATAAAACAAGCTGTCCCCAGTTAGAAAATATACAAATAATTCATACATAAATACAAATTTCCTTATTGTAAAAACTTGATACGTTATAGTAGGAAGACTAGCCAACAGGGACAGTGATACAATGTAATATTCAGCCAGAAAACCAGTCATGTGGATGTTACTTTGATCCTTAATGTAGATTAAACATTGATGCAGAGCATTTACTGTCAGTCAATAACATTCGCTGTTGGCAGTGAATTCTGTCCAGGATGACACACCCTGCCACACCGAAAATATAGTTCGGGAATGATTTGTTTGATGTCTTTGTTCTGAAACAGCAAGTCCAAAAATAAAGAAAAAAATTCAATGAAGAGCTCCAATAAGAAATTCTTTTGCTTTAACTTATCACTATTCACTATAAAACACTGTAAGCTGGTTAAACTTAAAAACGTAACTCTGCTGTTGCTTGGAAATGTTTTCAAGGAAGTAAACTTTTTTAAAAAAGGAACAGACTTTAGGCTAATTGCAGTCAGGTTTGTCAGTAATCACTGGATCAGCTGTTCCATCAAAGTCAACAAAAAACCGACAGAGGCAGAGAAGAAGCAGCCAGAAACCATGACGTAACACTGCAGTGAAAGGAAAGTTCACTACAGATCTCCTTTGGAAATATTTAAGAAAAATGGAAATGCCTCCAGTGTGTCTGAAAGTACACAGGGCATTTTAGTGAGAACATGAGAAATCCACAGGGACCTGTGAACCCTGCAACTGTGGACACTCACTTCATTCATTATACACCACTTCTGCTTTCAGGGTTTTTACTACTTCTGTATACTTATTAAAAAATTCAAACGTACAGATTTCTGTGGCTTAACGTGGATAAAACCATCATCGTTTCATTATTATTAAATGAGAACCACAATTTAGGAGTATAGGAGACACAGATTTTTCTCTCTAAACTACAAGAGGGAAAGGATTTTATACCCATATGTGTGTGTGCGCATGTGTGTGTGTGTTTATAAGCAAGGTCTTCAGCTTATAGTGCAGTTTTGTTTTCTTTTTTTTGACGGTTCCTCTTTTTTGAGGAAACTAAACATGTGACCCATCTTAGAACAAAAACCTCAGAATGAGCTTCAACAGCAGGATAAGGAAGCCGGAAAGTATTGAAATTTGGAGCAGAACTGCGGTAAAGCCGAAAAGATGGTGTAAAAACTTTCATAACATCATGTGAATTTCGGAGGCAACTTTTCTGTATGACGGTGAATGCACGAAAGTTATGTAGCTACTGGCAAACGATCTCTCTGAGGTATCTCGCCTGTTCAACCGGTTAGACTGCTGCATTACCATCAGTGGTCATGTGTTAAGAAGGTGTAGCCGGGCTTTATTGTTAACTGACCCTGAAAGAGATCGTAGTTTGCATTTTGTTCAGTTTGGACCAGTGGGGGAATTTCCAATGATGGCCACCTGCAGCTCACACATGAGGCGCTCTGCTCTCGTAATCCTGCTGCTCAACAGCTTCTGCGTCTTCTCTCAAAGTAAGGATGAATTTCTAATTTACTCCTTTACTATAAACTCATACTATTCAATGTATGTTTGAATTTTCTCAATTTGTCTCCTTCTCAAGTCGTCTGGTAACTTGAATTTTCTTGTTCACTAATACTACCGTGAGGTTAACAATAACACCCCAGCTTCACTGGCATGTATTTCATCACTGCTCTTCGTGATGCAGTCCTATTTTTCTGTGTAGTATTATATTAGATCATTAACTGCACTGCATGAGGTTAGGATTGTGCTTCCACCTGGGTTCATTCATGCGTTAACCTGCATTACAAGCCGGACACTCTGGAAACACATGATTTGATGTTATGAAATGTGTTACATGTTTCCTTTATTTTCCTTTAGTTTGTTATTTAATACTCCTGTCTTACTCTTTATATTTTATGTACAGTGAAAATAAAGGGCTATTCTGTTCTATTCTGTTCATACTAATACATTTATTGTTATTCTCTTGTTTGCATTTTTTGTCTTTTTTCTCAGTTTCACATGAAATTACCTATGTCGTGGCCTGCTTTGTTGATGGGAGAACTGAGGCACAGTTTGAATTTGATGCTGAGGAGCTTATGTATACAGATTTCGAAAGACATGAAGTTGTATACACGGTGCCCCGGTATTTTATATTTAACCCAAGTGAAACATTTCAGAATTTGAATGTATATAACAATGCACAAAAAGCCAAGAGAGCATGTCCAGCACTTCTGTCATACTGGACAGTAGAGGAGAAAAATCCACCTGAAGATAAAGGTAAAGGATTTTTATTCTTGTGTTAACTTCATGTTGTAACATTGCTGATGAGATCTGATGATGTTAATTATGTTTGATCCTACCACAGACCCCCCCGCAAGCATTCTTTACCCTGCAGATGAAGTCGAGCTGGGAGTTGAAAACAGCCTGATCTGCTTTGTGAATTACTTCTATCCACCTGACATCAATGTTACTTGGACCAAAAATGGTCATCCAGTGTCTGAGGGGGTGTCGCTCAGTCGGTATTTTCCCAATAAAGATCAAACCTTCCACCAGTTCTCAACTCTGGTGTTCACCCCGAGCGAGGGCGACATTTACAGCTGCACCGTGGAGCACTCGGCACTGGAGACACCCCAAACAAGAATCTGGGGTAAATATTTGCCCTAATGAATAAAAATAAAATGAAAAGATTTGTTTACTGTAGTCAGTAATTATGTTCTTTTTTTTCTTCTTCTGCAGAAACAGAAATAATGAAAAGCCATGAAAGTCATGGACTGGATGTTTTCTGTGCAGTGGGCCTGACTCTGGGCCTGCTGGGAGTGGCAACGGGAACATTTTTAATTGTAAAAGGACTTGAAAACAAAAAACAATATCTATCTTAGAGATTCCACACATGAAAATCACACAAATAAACAACAAAACTTGGGCACAAAGTCATGGTTCATTCGATAAACAATTCAACAATTAGGTCAGTCCAAAGGTTAAAAATTAACTGTAATGAAACAGAATCCACTAATCACATCCAGTCTTTATTGTGAGAAGTGTTTCAGATTCACACAGGAAATTCAAAAGGCCATTTGACTTTTTATTTCCTTATTTAAATTGCTGCTGTTTGCTTGGGCTGTTGCAGCACTTTTAGTTAACATGCAGTCATTTTCTGCAGTAGTAGCTCTGCAGTGTAGTGGTTTGCACATTCTTCTAACAAGCAGAAGATCTCTGGTTTGATCCTGGCATGAGACACAAATCCCTTGGGGGTTGTGTCAGGAAGGGCAGAAAAGTTTGCCAAGTAAGAGATATGGAGTTGCTGGCTGTGCTTGAGACACAAAAGCAGTGAGAAGTAGCTTGTTATTATGAATTTTAAATAAAATGTGCTAAAACAGAGTCTCTAGGAGGCAGCAGTAAAATGCAACAAGGTTTTCTCAAGTAGTGAAGACTGGATTAAAATGTTTGCATTATATGCACAATAAATATAGTTTGCCATAGCTGGGCAATGAAGCTAATTTTTGTCTGTAACCAAACACCAGCTTTATTGTTTATGTAACTTTGGTTGTTATTTAATCTTCTTTTCTATACCAGCAAAATAAAGAAATCTTTGTTGAAAAAAAATGACTGTTGTCTTTCAGCTCTTTATCTTTGGTTCCAAAACCCGTAAAGCTCTGATGTCCCATTAAATAAAAACATCGGCCATTAAAATCAGTATTATTACAAATAAATAAAAACATATTTCCTGATATGCTATAGATATAAGCTGCTAGCCTGCTAGTGTTCAGATAAATGCAAAACCAATAAGTTTAATAAAATCAAATATAAATCTTTTTAGTAACTTCAGACTTGAGATATACTTGTTTTGGGTTGTGTTTAGTAATTCAAACAAATCAGGGTTAACTGTGGATATTACATAAAAATTACGGCTTGTCTGTGTTTAAAAAAAGCTTTATTGTCTGCACAAATCCGACAATAGAAGTAAATCATGTCCCACAGAGCACCACGCCTACTAAAAGCCTGCATAACAATACTGTTGCTCAATCTGGCGATTCACTTCCTTCTGCAACAAGATCAGACTTCTTCCTATTTTCATTCGTGATTCCTATTTTTTCACCATGCATATTCGCTGCACTTTACTGCTAACAAGTGTGTTCCTCTTATTTTCAAGAGCAGGTAGGTAACTTCAAGATAATAGCTGTTTATTGGTCTTACAGTAAAAATAAAAAAGACGTTTGATTCATTTGTGTTATTTAGTAAACACAAGCTAACGTTTAAGATTGTCGAACTGGCGCTTGCGTTGTGTGTGAGAAGACAACACACATGAGCATTTCAGCATCAGCTAATTGTTGACTTTGTGTTACAGATGCTTACTTTGGTTACGGTGTGGTCCGTTGCCTGTTTACTTCCAAAGATGATGTTGTTTATCTGGCACAGCTCTACTTTAATAAGGTGCTTCAGGGTCAGTACAACAGCACTTTGGGGAAATATGTCGGCTACACAGCGAAAATGAAAGAAATTGCAGATGAACTCAACAAAAACCAACGTTTCTTAGAACAAGAAAAAAAGAACGAACAGAAGTGCAGAACCAACGTCCCGCTAGTGTTTGATGTGCTTTCAAGACCAGGTGAGCATAGAAAAACTCTGAAACTCTAATGATATTTTAGATTCCAGCAGCCATTGATAGTTACACTTCTTATTTCTGTGATATCAATAAAGCACTAGGTAACAGCTTGGTGCTCTACAGGGACTTTCCCTAAAATGTTTTTTAAGTACGTGAGAAAAAGATTGCTGGTGACTGAATCAGTGACTGAATCCTGTGACTGGTAAGTTTTTGAAAATTACTAACAGTGCTGCGGTGTTTTGCACTGTCGCCTCACAGAAAGAAGGTTCCTAGTTTTAACCCAACCTGTGGATTTGTGTGGAGTTATCATCACCTCCCTGTGTTCAACTTCCTTATACACTCCAAACTGATGAATTACTGATGAATGAAAATCTCTCCTGATTTGTGCGCCATCTCTTTTAAATGTTGAAAGTGAAAACACTTCCATAAAGGAAACAACCCTGCGTGCTTAGTTACTGCTCTTCAGCCCTCTTGATGCATTTTAGGAATTAAGATGTCCCTCTGTTAACCCTGGTCACGAGCAGGAAGACGGATGGACAAATTAGAGAAATGAGAAAACCCTAGACTGAAAGTAAACAGCTCAGAGGACACGAAAGAAAAAGCAGTTCCCGAAATAAAACAGTTAGTCGAAACAACTAACAGAATTCATGACCAGGAAACAAGGAGACAGAATGGCGAGGAATATCAGCGAAAATTCGAAAAAACATACCAAAAAACAGACAACCACTGAACAGTCAGGGGTGAGGGAAGAGAGACAGGACAAAAGACACAATGTGGAAGAGAGCCAGAGATAAACCTGAAGATCTGAAAGCAATGATGCAGCGTAGTTTATTAATTAAGGGAATGTTCCGAGTGAAAAGATCCAGCCCAAATTATAAGCTTAATCAAACAGAGGGTTTTACTGGGAATACTGTTAAATGTTTAATGCCACCTTTCCCATACGATCCAGATTAATGTGGTGGGTGGGGTCTTTTACATTTTGAGAGAATTGAGTCTACTAACAGGTTAAATGCAATTTTGAGACGGTCATTATCAGCATATACATGGATATTAAAATGACCTACTATAATTATTTTATTAGAGCTGAGGACTAAATTAGAAAGTCTAAGAATTCACCTAGGAACTGTGAGTAAGGGCCATATGAATGATAGTTAACAGCAAATAAAACTGAGTTTTCCGATTAGAGTTTACAATGCTAAGAGTTCTGCTTTCAAATGAAATCTAATAAGTTGTAAATCTGGATCTATTCAAAGCTTTAGTGGAAGATTGCTGCCACTCCTCCTCTTTGGTCTGTGCTTTGAGGATTCTCACAGTTAGTATTGCTCAGGGGTTTGATTAATTTCAACTATCTGCTGGAACCAAGTCTTTGTAATAGGAGCAAATCAATATGTTTGTCAATTATCAAATAATTTACTCACAGGGGCTTAGAAGACAGAGACCTAATTTTTAATACTACATATTTAACTGTTTACTCTTTAGTGCACTTGAGGGTGCTTTGTTGTGCTTTCTTTGTGAATTTTTTTCATTTAAATCTGATTGGTTTGCTTTGCTTTTTGCCCGACTGGTAACACGCCATCCTCTATCGGAATAGAGGATTACAGGAAAACTGAAGCTCCAGAGAAGGATATAAGGCTCATTACAGAAACTGTGTTATTGCTGCAATGCCTAATCAGTGTTAATTGATGGTATTTAATTTTATACCAAATCGTTCTGACTGTCTGTTCTTTCCACAAGTTGAGCCCACAGTCAAGCTGAGGTTAGCTGAGTCACCAGAAAGTGAACATCCAGGCATGTTGATGTGCAGCGCGTACAACTTTTATCCCAAACAAATCAAACTGACGTGGCTGAGGGACGGAAAGGAGGCAACATCTAATGTGACTTCCACTGATGAACTACCCAACGGAAACTGGCTCTACCAGATTCACTCCTACCTGGAGATTATACCCAAATCTGGAGAGAACATCAGTTGCATGGTGGAGCACGCCAGCCTCATGGAGCCCAAATTTTATGACTGGGGTAAGACGGTGAAAGGAAGCTTATTCTTGGACCTCATCCTGGTTTATGATGTTATTAAATAAGACTTATTAAATTCACAGTTTATAAATGTAATATAGTGATACATGTGTTTTCAGATCCAACATCCGAGGCAGAGAAGAATAAGATTGCTATAGGTGTAGCAGGGCTGCTGCTGGGTTTGGTGTTTGTACTCGGTGGAGCTGTTTTCTACAAGCGGAACACTACAAGTGAGAAACATGACAAACGTGACCTCCTTAATGTCTCTATCTGTAACCTGAGCAATTATATAAGTAAATTTAAGGAATAACTTTTACTTGCTCTGTAGGTAACAAGCTGTTCACTCTAACAGTCATTATTTTCACATCTAACTCTACCGAACTTTGTAGCAGCTGCAATTTTAACACATTAACACAAAATTATTGTTATTTAAAACCGATACATTTTAACTCTGTCTTCTTGTTATTATTGTATAGGCCGGATATTGGTGCCAACAAGTTAATCTACCTGTTTGGAGGTACTGTCTGAAGGTGGAATCATCTAAGAAACGATGGCAGCAAATGGAAAAAAGTCAATTTTGAGTTTGCCAACTGGGAAGACACTTATACTTTGTGCATTTAGACTGGAGAATTCAGAAATATTCAGCAAAAAAAGGGAAAAAAACATATGACTTAAGACTTTTGTTTATAAAACATCACAACTAAATTAACAATGTAACTAATGATTTAATTAATTTATTTAGATTTCTCAGAGTGTAAATGTTCATGTTGACAGAGATGCTGCTGTTTTGAAGGTCTACTTGATTGTGAAATGTTTTATTAATATTACTGAAAATGTTAAAACTATATATCTGGGGCTTGGATAAAAGAGATATATTTTATTCATCTAGTCATTCAGTTATTCTAACAAGCTGATTTATTTATAGACTTAATGTGAAACTGCATCGTGCAATATGTTCTTCATTTTCTTGTTCCAGCTGTTTTAACTTAAAGATTTCATGCTTTTCTTTGTCAAGTGTGAACTGGATACCGTTGGGTTCGTAGGGCCCAGTTGTTCAAAAGCAATGTGGCAGGATAAGGATTATTTGATGTGAAATATCAAAATTAACCTGATCCCAGCAGGGGGCTGAATTTGGTCTGGATTACAAAGGAAAAATGAAACAAAAACTCAAAAGGAAAAGAAAAATAGAACCGGTATACTAAGTTTTTTTCACCACTGTTTTTACATTTTGTATTAAGTGGTATATTTATAAAATAAAATATATTACCCTACATAACTGTATTGATGATGCCTTCTTCATAAGTTTTAAATATATAAAATATACGATAAACTGAGTTGTGTGGTGAAGTCATCACGTTAACGTTAACTAAAAAAGGTTATGAATTAAGAATTTTAAAGGTAATCACAGTAGGTAATAGTAAAATCATTAAAAACTTAAATCTATGCATATGATATAAATTTTTGTTGCCATCTGCTGGTCATTTTTTAGTTTAGTAAGTCGGGCCCGTCGCAGTAAAGACAAACAGTGCAGAACATGTGTTGCTGCACAAAAGCAATCAGAGATGTTCGTGTTTGTGAAGCATGGTGGCAGTAGCATCATGGTGTAGTCCGTCTCAACAGCAGAGGCTGAAGTTTTTACAGTAGACACAGCAGTCACCTCAAGGCGCTTTATATGAAAAGCTAAACCATACAATAACACATACAGAGAACAACCCAACAATCATATGACCCCTTATGAGCAAGCACTTTTGGGGATAGTGGGAAGAAAGAACTCCCTTTTGTCAGGAAGAAACTGCCAACAGAACCAGGCTCAGGAAGGGGCAGCCATCTGCTGCGACCAGGGTGAGGGGAGGAAGACAGGACAAAAGACATTAATTAATCAGTCAATCAATCAATTCAATGCATCATGGGAATCCCCCTAGCAGTCTACACCTGATCCAGGCCTAACTATATGCTTGGCAACAAGGAAAGTTTTAAACCTAATCTTAAAAGCATAGATAGTATCTGTCTCCCGAATACAAACTATTGGAAATATTGGAGATATTGGAAACTGATTCCAAATATCAGAGGCCTGAAAGCTAAAAGCTCTGCCTCACACTCTACTTTTAAATACTCTAGGAACCACAAGCAAGCCCGCAGTCCGAGAGTGAAATGTGGGTTCATTAAGATAAGATGGGGCCTGATTATTTAAGACCTTGTATGTGAGGAGCAGTATTTTGAATTAAATTCTGGATTTAACAGGGTGCCAATGAAGGGAAGCCAATACAGGAGAAATATGCTCTCTCTTTCTCGTACTGCAGCATTTTGGATTAACCGAAGGTTTTTCAGGGAGTTTTTAGGGTATCCTGATAATAACGATTACAGTAGTCCAGCCTAGAAGTAATAAATGCATGAACTAGTTTTTCAGCGTCACTCTGAGACAGGATATTTCTAATTTTAGAGATGTTGTGCAAATGGAACAAAGCAGTCCTACATATTTTTTAATACGTGCACTGAAGGACATTTCCTGGTCTAAAATGACTCCAAGGTTCCTCACAGTGTAACTGGAGGCCAAGGTAATGCCATCAAGTGTAAGAATCTGGTTAGATACCATATTTCTAAGATTTTCAGGGCAGAGTATAATAACCTTGGTTTTATCTGAAATTAGAAACAGAAAATTAGAGGTCATCCAGATCTTTTTGTCTTTAAGATATTCCTGCAGTTTAACTAATTGGTGTGTGTTTCCTGGCTTCATGGATAGATAAAGCTGGGTGTCATCCACATAGCAGTGAAAATGTATGCTATGCCTTCTGATAGAGCTACCTAAAGGGAAGCATGTATAATGTAAAGACAATTGGTCCCAGCACGGAAACCTGTGGAACTCCATAATTACTCTAAGTGTGTGAAGAAGACTCTCCATTTACATGAATAAACTGGAGTGCATTAGATATGATACAACACTATCACAGCACTATCTGTAATACCTACAGCATGCTCTAATCGCTCTAATAGAATATTATGGTCTAGCAGGACGAGCACAGAGATGAGTCCACTGTCAGAGCGCCATAAGATCATTTGTCACCTTCACTAAAGTTGTTTCTGTACTGAACTGTAAATGCCAGGTGGATGCTTCTCACCTGGCATTGAAAACTGAGATAAACAGTGAACTGACAGCCTTTCAGAGATAGCAAAAAAGCTCTGGGGTGAATCTGGTCCAGAGTCACTTTCATATCTGAATACACTCACTACAGATGGTAGGTGGCCAGAGTTTTTGAAGTGACTCTGGGATTAAAACATAAAGTACTGAAAACTATCTAACTGACCATTACTTGATTGCATTTGTTTTTTGTTTTTTTTTAAACAGTAGTGGAAATACGTTGGTCAGCTGCAGCTGTTGTGGGGGGCATTCTAAATTTTGTGTTTTTGATCTCTTGCCTGACTAAAACATGTTTGTCCTACATTGGCCACTAGTTAGGATAAGAAAGCAGAACTGACAGCTATCTGCTGACATCTAGTGGTTCCCGCTTGTTACACATTGTGTAAATTTACAGACCTCACAGTACCATATTATTTTAACAAAAGGCCCATTGCTCTCAGACTGCAGGAAAACAGCTTCATCAATTCAGTCATCTGATCTCAACCCAACAGAGCATGCTTTTTAGATTAGATTAGATAAAGCTATTAATCCCTCGGGTGGGTTCCTCCAGGAAATTCTGTATAATTGTAGTAGAATTTTAGTTTTTGAAGACAAGACTTAAGGTAGAGAGACCCCCAAGCAAGCAATACTGAGAACAGCTACAGTAAAGGCCTGGATGAGCATCTCAAATGAAAGAAAATCCATTTGGTGTCTATTGATTCTAGACTTCAGGCCTTTACTGACTGCAAAGGAATCATCCAAGTACTAAAAACTAATCTTATATTTAAACGGATGTTAGTTTTTCTAGTTATCGTTTATCTAGTTGAATTAAATCTGACTGTATGCTCTTCAATAACACAGTAAGAGAGCTGAGTCCTGTTGCAAAAATATTTACAACCTTACAACCAGAATATTACCAGACAGACAGAGCCAGTAAGGTAGCTGCGAGGACACCTTTTGGTAAGAAGCTGGGCCTGCAGAGGCAGTGTGATGCTTTGTAATATTCTGCTAAGAAACCTTGAGTACCAATCTTCTTATTGATATTACTCATGTAGACACAGTTAATTTTTTTGCTTTAGCTTATCATCAGACTCTTTAAAAACCAATCTGGTTTAACCCGAACAACTTAAATTCCTTCACTAAGTGGTTTTAGTGAAGTAAAAAGAGACTTGTCAAAGCATTTAATGTGTTGTTGTTAAAACAAACTCCGTAACATGTCAGCAAAGGCAGAAAAGAAGAAGCCATAAACTATGAGGTAAACAGTGCAGTTTGGTAAACAGTGATTCAAATCTTCTTTGCAGATGTTTATGAGGATGGAATGTTTCAAAGTATTTTGTGCATTTTAGTGAGAAGGACTGGATGTAACTTCTTTCGTTACCAAAGTAAATCCACAGGGACCTGCGAACCCTGCAGCTGTGATTGCAACACCTTGGTCCTGACACACCAACTTCTGCTTTTTGGGTTTCTGCTGCTTGTGTGTAGTCATTCTTATCACACGTGTTACAAGGAAGTTAGAAAGTTTTGGACTAAAACTGTGGTAAAAACCGAGGAATGTGGTGTATTACGCATAGCCTTGTGTAATTTCTCATATTTCTGGCTGATGATGCAAGAACTGTTTATGTAATCACTGACAAATTCAGAATGTCTCCGTTACAGGAAGGAACCTAGGAAGTAAGGTGTGATCAGTCTGTTATTTTCATTGACCAGACAGAGATTAAATGTGTGGCCTTGATTTGGACAATGTTGAATTTCCTGACAATGGCCACTTACACATGAAGCGCCCTGTGGTCATAATAATCAATCTAAGAATGAGTTCCTGACATTCCTTCAAACTTCACCTTTCAATGGGCGTCTTTTGATGTTTCTCTAGACAACCAAATACCCGAGAGTTAAACAGAACGACCTTGTTCGTCTAATTTTCTATTGACATAAATTTATACATTTATCATTTAAGTTTTTATTCTCAGTTGCAATAGTGACCTGTTTTGACAATGATATAAGTTAAGTAAATTCAAGGCTGAAGAGCTTTTTTAATGTTGATTATAAAAGACATGGGGTTGTATACACAGTGCCCACCTATCTTATGATTAACCCAAGTCAAATATCTGGAGATCTGAGAACACAGAAAACAAATGTGTTATACATTACAGAAAAATACAGAAAAATCCACTGGAGGAAAAAGGTACATGAGTTTTACTGCTGTTTACTTCATTTATCTTTGATGTAACATAACTGGTAAGATATGATGGATCTTAGTTGTTTTTAAACCCACCACAGACCCCCTGAGAGCATCCTCTGTCTTTCTGAAGAAGTTGAGCTGGGGGTTGAAAATAGCCTGATTGGCTTTGTGAATCATTTCAACCCACCTTCCATCAATTTCAGCTAAACCAAAAACGGCCATCCAGTGTCTGAGAGGGTGTCGCTCAGTCGGTATGTTCCCAATAAAGAGCAAACCTTCCACCAGTTCTCAACTCTGAAGTTTAGCCTGAGCGAGGGTGACATTTACAGCTGCACCGTGGAGCACTGGAGAGACCCTAAACAGGAATCTGGGGTAAATATTTAGTCTTATGAATAAAGCAAAAATAAAAAGACGTTTTTACTTCTGTCAGTAATGACAATATTGCAGCTATTCGGGTTAATGTAAAACCGATGAGTTTTATAAGGTCCAAAAAAATGTTTTTTTTAATATCTTTTTATTGCCAAAGGACTTAAAAGAAACTAATATCTCAATCTATTATAGGCATGAAACTACAAATACACACAATTCGCTGCACAATATTAAGATACAAATATCAGACCTGCAGCAGTAATTTTTCTTCAGGTTATTTTAAACTGAAAGAGGGCGTTACTGCTAAGAATTTACTCCAACTTGAAATACATAACACCATATGCTAGAGTTCTGATTTTGGAACTAAATTCCTTGTTTGCACTGTAATAAATTGCCATAGCGGGGAAATGAAGCAAATTTTGAATACTAATTCATCTCAAGCACAGTTCTTTCTTTTATCGCTTACAAAAACCTTCTTTTTTCTTTCCATGATGAAGGCACCACTGCTTGGATATCAAACAGATGTGTTACGGCCTTCCTGTATGGTTTCAAAAACAGTTTAAACCAGCTTCAGGTGAAATTTTACACAAGTTTTTACAGTCTGCACAAATCCAGCAGTTAGGGTGAAAATAAATCACACCACATACATACACAGAGCACCACGCCTACTCTTTAAAAAGTTTATTGTTACTCAAGCTGCAGATTCACTTCCTTATGCGAGAAGATCAGATTGATTGCTACTTTCATTCGTGATTTTGTGTTCGTCACCATGCACACTCACAACTTTGTGATACTGCCACATGTGCTCTTGATATTTTCAACAGCGGGTAAGTAACTTTAATATATAAACTGTATTGTTTGTGTTACAACAATACAACAATGATATCATTAGAGAAATAAAAATACAAGCAAACCTTAAACTGGTGCTTCTGTTGTGTGTGAGAAGATAAAAAAACATGAGCATTTCCATATTGGCTAATTGTTGACTTTGTGTTACAGATGCTTACTTTGGTTACGGTGTGATCCGTTGCCTGTTTACTTCTAAAGATGATGTTGTTTATCTGGCGCAAGTCTACTTGAATAAGATGCTTCTGGGCCAGTACAACAGCACTTTGGGGAAATATGTCGGCTACACAGAGAAAACTAAAGAAATTGCAGACAATCTCAATAAAAACAAAGGTTTCCTGGAACATGAGAAAAAGAACAAAGAGAAGTGCAGAACCAACATCCCACTCGTGTTGGACATTCTTTCAAGACCAGGTGAGCACAGCTGAAACTAATGATGTTTTAGGGTTCAGCAGCCTGCTCACTCTGGGGTCTCTTTAGAAACAACTTGATGCTTTAGAGCAGCTTTTCTGAAAACGTTTTAAGAACTTTATGAGGGAATGATTGCAGGAATCTGTTCATCAAGTGGGCTGAAAGAAGTGTTCAGATCATTTCCTTAGTGAAAAGTATTCATGTATCATCGTCGAAACACCTGCAATGTTTTTTTTTAGAATCAGGACAACATACGCGGCAAAATGCAGCTCCTGAAACTCTTCATCTGTTCCACTCTTACACATGTCTGACTGTAGTCTTAGTGTTATTAGTCCAGTATCAGTGTATTAACTGATGATATTTCATTTTATATTAAATAGCTCTGTCTGTTCTTTCCTCCAGTGAAGCCCATTGTCAGGCTGAGGTTAGTTGAGTCAGCAGATAGCAAACATCCAGGCTTGTTCATGTGCAGCGCGTACAACTTTTATCCCAAACAAATCAAACTGACGTGGCTGAGGGACGGAAAGGAGGCAACATCTAATGTGACTTCCACTGATGAACTACCCAACGGAAACTGGCTCTACCAGATTCACTCCTACCTGGAGATTTCATCGAAACCTGGAGAGAAAATCAGCTGCATGGTGGAGCATGCCAGCCTCACAGAGCCCAAGGTTTATGACTGGGGTAAGAGAGTGATTGGAGGAGAGTTTATCAGTAGAACTCATATTGGTGTTATCCTTCTAAAATAAGACATATTAAATAAGTGTGTATATCTAACACAGTGATAAATGTGTTTTTAGTGCCAATAACTGAAGCAGGGAAGAATAAGATTGCTGTTGGTGCAGCAGGGCTGCTGCTGGCTTTGGTGTTTCCAATTATTGGAGTTATTTTCTACAAGAGGAAGGCCACAGGTGAGACACATAAACCAAAAAAACCTCGAACGACACAATCTGAAACTGTAACTTGGGTAATTGCATTAGTTAATGTAAGCAGTGTGCTGATTATTCCCCATTTCACTCTAACAGTCATTATTCCCACTTCTAACTCTGTCACGGTTACCGTAGCAGTTGCAGTTTTTACTTTAACGTTTTAACACATTAACACAAAATGTCTGCAATCTAAAATGAAGAAATTTCAACTCTGTTGTTTTTTATTTATTCTACAGGCCGATCTAACTGAAATAGTGGGGAAAATGAGGTTTAAGGTGGATTAAATGCCCTGCAACAGACTGGTGACCTCTCCAGGTCACCCACCTCTCACCCTGTGACACCTGGGTTCCAGCCCCACCACCACCACCCTGAAGTAGTTAAGTGATGGAAGGATGGAGATTAAATCAGACTTTTACACTCAGATTGAAATACATAAAATTATTTATGATATATATATATATATCATAAATAATTTTATTTATGATATATATATATATATATACAGCAGAGTTCTGTTCATAAACAGAACTCTGCTGAGTTATCTGTGCTAATTTTTCTCTCTCAATTCATATATCGACATTCCCACAGGTTTCAAAGCTGAATTTAGAGAAATCTGCGAGAAGTCTGATTTATCTACTTTATCTTCATTCCAAAAACCTGAAATCATTTATCATTTATGAAGCTCAGCAGTTTTTGTTTTTCCCTTTTCTTTCCTGTGGTAAACAAAGCTATGTGCCTCTCTCCTGCTCTCCTGTGGGTATTTTTGGTCATCTATGGGTTAAAGAAGCCCTCAGTAGTGTCTTATAGATGAGACTGCTGGCCATGCTGATTAGTTGTTTAAGTACAGAAGATAGGATGGCAAATCCTAAAGGCTCAAACAAAAGCAACAGGCTTTGTTTTGTCCCATCTTCCTGTGCTTTACTTGCCCTTTTTATCTTCTCTTTCTTCGAAACCTCGAGCAGAACCAGGCTCAGGGAAGCCCCACGATGAGCTGATGGGCTTCCCTGAGCCTGGTTCTGCTGAACGTTTCTTTCTGTTAATAGTGTCACGGTCCTGGGTCTGTGACTCCGTGTATGTGTTTTCTGGTTTAATTTATATTCTTTGAATTAGTTTTAATCATGTTTCAGTTTCCTTGCTCTTCCCAGTTTAATCATTTGTATTTCTAATTCTTAGGTTCTTGTTCCCTTTTGTGCTCTGGTTGTCTTGGTCTCATCTGTGTTCTCCCCAGTTCGTCGTCCTTTTCACCCTCTCTGTGTTTCCTTTTTTATTTTGACAGTCTCCCATCCTGTGTTCAGTGTGTTGCCGTGTTGATGGTTTGGGACAGCTGTGTTGGGGGACAGCTGTGTTGCTGTTCAGTGTGTTCAGTTTTTCTTCCCCTGTGTCTCATTGTGTCTGATTACTTCCAGCTGTGATCCCTCCTGTTTCCCATCCTCTAATTGTCTTCTGTGTATTTATGTCCTCTGTCGTCCTCTGCTTGTTGTTGTGTTGTCCCACATCGCTGTGTTTCCTCTGTGCTTCTCGGATTCCTTGTAATTCCTAGTTTCCAGTTTTAGGTTTTTGTTTCCTTGTATTTAGTGTTTGGATTTTACAGCAAATAAAATCTTTTCTTTATCCCTCTGTGTTATGAGTCCTGGGTTTGGGTCCTACTCCTGCCTACCACACAGCGCTACCTTGACAAAAAGGGAGCTTTTCCTTCCTGCCATCACAAAGTGCGTGCTGGTAGGGTGTTGTTTGATTGTTGAGGTTTTCTCCAGAATACTGAACGGCCTTTACCTTACAATATAAAGCACCTTGAAGCGACTGTTGTGATTTGGCACTATATAAATAAGCCAGAATTGAATTACTGTGTTAATATGGTCTGCAGGGTTTTAGGGTTATAAATACATCAGGGAGTTGCATTCAGAGATTCACAGTTAGGATCATATTTCTAAAGGTCTTAGGAAGGCCAACAAATGGGAGCATGTGAATACTTCATTCATTATTATTTCAATTTAGTGGAATAATGGTCACTTTCTTGCAGCAAATTTTATATTATTAATCTCTAAATCTCTGAATCTCTAATTTGACAAAAAAAAATTATTCATAAAACAAGTATTAAAAACATCAGTAACACAAAAATTTATTGGTGGTGGTCCAAAGACGCTAAACTGGAAGACCGACACAGGGGATGAGCAGGCTCTATTTCATAATTAAGCTGAGATCTTTGATATGAGTTTTCTGAGATTTTCTGTTCCTCTGTTGTGGTGAGTGCGGTGTACTTTACTGTGGTCTGCTGGGGGAGCAGCGTCAGAGCTGATAGACCCAACAGACTGAATAAACTGAACAGGAAAGTCGGCTCTGTGATCGGCTGATCACTGAACAAACCGTTATCGATCACGGATAATCACAGATACATCTTTCACATTTTTCACATGTAGTAACTTGTGGTATCAAATGTCACAACAGCCTGAGAGCAACACATCTGTCCATGGAGGTATAAACTGTTCTCACATGTTAACAGTTTATTTTAACCCTACACCCTTATTTATTTAGTTCTCTCTGTTTGGACTGAATAGAGTCCCACGTATCCACATAATTCACATCCACATAACCACACAACTCATTCTTACACACGGACACACACACCAACTTTAATTAAATATGAAACATGTAGTATTGCATTGTATTCTAATGAGTTACATAATATTCTGCTAATTTAAATTTAAGTACTGTAGCTAATCTAACTGCTGTAACAGAGGAGTTTCATAGCCCTGTGATAAATAAATATCCTATCTTAGTGTCAGAAGTGTTGTCTCTAAACGCAGTATATATCTATAATCTGTTGTCTGTGGACGCAGATATATCAGTATATATCTTTATTTGCTTGAAGCTTCTGTCCAAAGTGCGCTCTAGTGCGTCACATGTCTGTAAGACAGCACAGAGGGCTTCAGGACCCACAGTCCCCTGATGCGCCTGCGCTCTGTCAAACGATGAGCCGCTTCGGGTTTTATTTTATTTTTCTCTTCTTGTTGATTAAATGTCCGAGTCTGATTCTCTTCCTATGTTTCGCCATTTATGTTTACATCCACTACCGGACGCGATAAAAAAAAAAAGTGGAGGGAGAAATAAAGACGGAAAGTGATGAGGGCTGCAGATAAACAACAAACAGCGTCACGGCTCTCTCGTCCTTGTCACTGCATCTCTGCAGGCGTCAGACTGCAGTGACAGGACTGTGCTGTTCCCGTTCCGGAGGTCGAGTCGAGAAGCATCACCAAAACACCGGAGCGGTTACGTTACCGAGCGGCGATAAGACGCAGGAGATGCTTGATAAGAGCCTCATATAAGCTCCGATAGGGAACCAGGCGGAGGGTTTGTGCAGGAAAACTCCTCATGAGCACCAGAGAAGGAGCTACACCAGCGGGTAAGGCTGATAGAAGTCCCTGTCTACACTGTTTGCTTAGCTCGATGGAGACTTTCTGTCTTTTTTTTTTTTTAAACTACTGCATTCTTCTAGTTCACTTTATTCTGCTCCACCTTAACAGGTGACGTTAAATAAATACACGGGAGTAGGTCTGGCTTTATGGGGAGGATATCATGAAGAGGTCTGAGGATCCTTCCCCCAAAAGTTTGTGCATCTAACACCTGATCTCCTCAATTCTGGTGAATTTTATTATAGAGCATTTGTATCATGTTCGGAGAAGTACCCTTCTTAACCTTTAACAAATCTGTATTTATTTATAAAACTATTTGTTTCCTTTATATTTCATGCAGTTAACAAAAAAATTTCAACAATTTTTATGCTAACCCCCCCCCCCTTTTTTTTAGCTTAATTGGCCACCCTTGTCTGTTCCTTAACATTGTATTTGTTTCATTATTGCTAAAAATATGCTTTAAGCTATTTAAACGTGTTTAAATACTATATTTAAATATAAAAACTGTAACTGTCATAAATAATTATCAAATCATTTCCAACAAAAAATCCAAGTGTATAATGTTGAAATACAGCTTCCTAGTATCCCCTGCTACACCAACGTTCCAATTCCTGTAAAAACTATACAAAGTTGCCAGGAAAGTAGATTAAGACAGAGAAATCCATGATAGAAACACTAAATTTTTTCTAACACATATATGCATCGCTGTTGTAAGATAAATTTAGGCAATCTTCTCAGCTGTGTAACTGAAACTCAGGATTAGTTAGCAAAAATATTTCTAAAAACCAAACAACACTATCCAGGGGCTCAGAACTTTGTTCATTTTCTGGAATATATATTCTCATATCAAACCACCTCCTCCTTTTATCCTGCTGCAAACTGAGAACACTGTGTGCCTGAGATAATTACTTTTACCACATATTTCATGTTTTTTAAATTAAATAGACCCACCTTGACAGAGGCATTTCTCACTGAGTAATGTTATGAGTTCTAAATATACGACACCTTTGCACTTAGTCCTATACTCAAGGACTGTACTTAAGGACACATTTGAACTATTTGTATATTTTCATGCCAAACTGCTTTGGACTTCTACTCCTCTGTCCATTTATCTGGCAGCTTTATTTTCGCAGTTGACATTTTCAACAACAGAGAAATGTTCGCCTTTCTTGGGTCATCCTGTACTTGTCAAGTCTTTGGTTCTGCCTGTTTTAGATGTCATTTTTGTTCGCTTGTGATGTTTATGTGGACTGACTTTTTGCTTTGCCTTGCCTTTTGGACTTTGTTTCATGGACTAAGGCTCATTGTTTGTTTAATCCTGCCTGCCTTCTGAGTCTGAATGAGGATTTTTAACCTCCACACTGTGAATGCTCCAGACCAGCAAACTGAAAACCTTTTGCTTTTATAGAAGTGCTCATGCTTGCTGATGATCAGTTAATTAAGTACATTTGATGAGCAGGACCTGACTGCTACTTACACTCTTAATTTCTATGGAAGCATTAAGCGTCCAATTCGTTTTTCAAACTTTCTTTCTCTAATGACTGCATATCTAAGGTTTAATAAGTCGCATTTTGTTTTTTTGTTGTTCTCCATAGTTCACCTCTGACAAGACATAGGAGTGACCCTGCCGTTTGCACTGATGGGTCTGAGTCTGTCACGTTGGTTTTGCAGCAGGACAGCCGACAGGCCTCCCTTTTCGTCATCAGCATTCCTCCCACTGGCCGTCCCAACCTCCTCCCGCCTTGCAGTTACGCTGAACTCCCCTCCAGTTTCCCCAGGAGACAGTCGTTCACACTGGAGCACAGTCCACCGTTCTCTTCACTTCCTGCTGTCCCCCTGCAAACAGGAAGCGACCCGCTCACCCGCTGAGCTTAGCAGCGATGGCGTGAGGGCAGAGATAGGAGTGAAGAGTGGACTTCATGTCTGGGAGGTGGTGTGGAGGCCCGAACACAGAGGGACTCATGCCGTTGTGGGCATTTCGAGGCAGGACTGTCCCCTGCAGTCTTCAGGGTACAATGTGCTGGTGGGGGCAGATTCACAGTCCTGGGGATGGGAGCTCAAAACCAATCAGCTCTGGCATGGTGGGCAAACTCTGAAGCTTTACCCAGAAAATGGGAGTAAGAGGTGTCACTCTGAGGCAGCAGCTGATTCAAAGTCACAGTCCTCCTCTTCATCAAGTGCAAAGATGGCACAAACACCTCTCCTCATTCCTGAGCGTGTCCTGCTGGTTCTGGATGCCGATGCCGGGACTCTGGGTTTTGTTGTCAATGGCAGCTTCCTTGGCGTAGCTTTTAAGGACCTCCCTCGAGATGTGGAGCTGTTCCCAACAGTGAGCAGTGTGAGAGGAGGAGCCTGCATTCGACTGCGCTACATGAATGGTTCTACACGTGAGTGCCTCATTTATTTATTTGTCTTTGTACGCAGAAATATAAAGATAAAACACAGCCTTATACTAAACTATGTTGTTTCTGGCTTGTTCTCAGGAGATCCTCCATCCCTCATGGCTTTATGTGGACTGTCGATTCGTCAGAATTTAGGACAGAAAAGGTTAAAACATATGGACAAATTGCCTCTACCCCCTTTTCTCCAGCGCTGCCTGGCTTCTAGTCATTAATCTTCCACGCAAACTGACAAGATGGATATTATTATCAGTTACTGCAGTTTACCAAGGATCCATTCCCTTTTCTATGAAATACTGGCGTAAATTCTGTAAATCTTACATTATATGCACTAGTATAATTATTTTTTATCTTATTTATTACAAATGTGTATGTTTATAGATGTTTTGTAATATTTTTAAAAGAAATTTGGGGGATTTAGAGGCAGTTCTGTGTGGTACAGGTCTGGTTTCTTCTTTTGTGTATCTAATAAATGAGCTGTTTCAAGTGATTTTTATTCTTTTCCTGTCCTTTCACAAACCACAATGTTTGGTTTTGACAATAAAGCTCAGATCCAATAAGGAATATAAAGTTATTTGTATGGAAATACTGATGTAATGTTTTCAACCAGCATAACAAGCCAAGTACAGTGGCAGGATAGATATATACTTACATTTGTTTATGTGACTGAAACCCTGTCTCATATACAGGTGTACTCATATTATTCCTGTATACTGTAACATGCCCATACTTCCACACATTTGTTTGTAGTTGTAATTTAGGTTATATTGTGACATTAGCAATAATACACCCTCTTTAATTCTAAGGTTTTATCAATCAGGACATACCAGGTCCAGGTTCTAATATTATTTAACTACGACCTTAAAAACAACAGCACATAAGATTTTATAACATGACATTACGTAACAAAAACTAGACCACAATGCAGAAGCAGTGTATGAAAAACTAAGCACAGCCCACGATTCAGTTGCTTATAAAACCACCTTTAGCAGCAATAACTTGAAGTAATGGTTTTCTATATTACTTCATCAGTCTCTTGCATCATTCTGGAGGAATGTGGGAGCTTACAGCGTTGCATCACAGCTCAGCTCCCCTAAGGTCCCAGCACAGAATTTGAATCAGGTTTCTAATTGTGCTGTCATAAACATTACCATTTAACATGCTGAGGCATGTAGAGTTTGAAAGGTAGCTCTTGGGTTTTTTGATCTGATCCTGGGGTTAATTTCCTGGGAAATTAAGTCCTGTGAAGATTGGCAACTACTTTCAGTGTTTTCCATTTGTGAATAATCTTCCTCACTATAGAATAATGGAGTTTACCGGTAGATTGTTTGGAAATGACTTTATAAACCGCCCCACATTGATGGGCAGCACCAGTTGCTTCTTTAAGATGATTGCTGATGTTTTTCCTCCTTGATATTGTGTTAACACACACTGTAACGCTGGAGGCCAACAAACTGTCAAAAATTAAGCTTTTATAGAGGTTCTCACACTTACTGATGATCAGTTAATCAGTCACCTGGCTGCTTTGTACTTATTTTTTCACACACTTCTTTATTTTGCCTTCGTTTTTGTTGAATAAATAACCACACAGTGTGATGTGTTGTGTGTTGTTGCTCACCTGCTAAGAACCAGATGCTCCCTCTGCAGGTGGCAGACAAATTACTTGAAGTTTGCTAATCCTGCTGATCGATGCTTGCATGCAGGACATTTTTAAATCCTTCATACAGGCACCTCCTCTCCATCGACGTAATCCACAAAAAAGTCGTGTTTGGAGTCCTACCAGGAGTGGATGCAGTAATCCCATCAGCTGTACACTCCAACCATCAACCACCCCACACCTATGCTACATAGAGGACAGATAGCTAGACAGACAAACAAAAAGGTTTCATATGTTGAAAGAGCTTTCTGAACTGATTAATTGTACAGAACTAATAGCGAGAGAGATGTGGTTGTTATGGCAACCGGGAAGTCGCCTTTGAGCACTTGAAGGTGAGTTTGTGGAAAACAAGCACTGTTAAAGGTTGTTAAAGTTATTTTATCAGTCTCATTTCTGTTATAAGCTGGACTCTATCAGTTATATAAAAGATTTATTGACGTGGCAGTACTCTAAAACAAATTTAATTCTATAGCCGGTTTCTAAATAAAAATATAAGTAAGTTATAGTTAACCTAAACGAGCTAGCTTACATCGTTAGCCCAACAAGCTAACTGGAGCTACAATAATTTCAATTATTATCATAATAATGTCTGTAATATAATTCCATGTTTTGTTTTTATCTTTAAAGGACCCCCTAGCGAGTTTCAAAAAGGTATTTTTGTCTGACTTGCAGTTTAGTTGTTTTAGGAAGCCATGGTTTTCTTTAAGCATCAGTAGTAGTAAGCTATTTAAAGTGAAAAAGCTCTAAAAACCCACATTATACTCCCTGCTCAGCACTAAAGTGCAAGGCAGACAGCCTTGGACAGCCTGTTAATGAGAGTGACTCATTTAGCAGTTAAATGGCTCCATATTTCCCCAAGGAGGCAGAAAAGACAGAGAAGAACATAAAACATAAAATACAATGAATATTGGATTTATCGGGTGACTCCAAATTACTTTAATCTGACTTGTCCTTGTAGAATTAATTATTCATGGCAGCAGCTCTGGATAACCTTAGAGGAGGAGGTGTGGTTTTTGGACCTTCTGGCAGTTTTGAAGAAGAAGATGAGGAGGACTCTCCTGCAGTAAGCTCTGATTTTCACATTCACCAGCAGCACTCATTTAATGTTTTAAGGGAGTTATATGAGAGTTTGAGGGCAGTCAAACTTACACGTTTGCATGTCTGTTTTCCAGGTTTTACTGAGTGTTTTGGTCCAGCATGGGCAGGTGGGCCTCTGCTTCTATGACAGTCAGGACTCATCTTTACACTACATGCCGGACACGCCCGACAACCAAGAGCTCCACCTACTGGTCAGAGGTAAGCAATGCACCTGTATGAGGCAGGTATTGTAGAATCGACACTTATCTCCACACAATGGTAAATTGTAAAACCCTCAGGGAGACTTACAGTATGTGTTAAAAAAAGAAAAACACTTGTGTTGCCATAAACTCTCTTTTTCTCTGTTTTACAGTCATTCAGGAGGTTAGTCCCCATGTAATTATCACCAGTGCAAAGCAGGAGCGCTCCATGACTCTCTTTTTGCAACAGTTAGGTGAGCTTTGGGAGATGATACTTATCTTACCACGAAAGAGGGAAAACAGAAAGACCTTTTAGACAGTTACTTTTAAGACGTGGTGTGGTACATGTGGTCTGGGTCAGAGGAATGAGGTTGAGGTATGTCTGACACTGAAACCAGCCCGTGTGGTAAGTCAGTGGTGCAGTTTTTAAACATCCTGTTCCCGGGGTGCCTGTGGCTCTACCAGTTGGAAGGTCGTGGTTTGATCCCTGGCTCCTCCAGTATGTATGTCGAAGTATCTTTGGGCAAGACACCGAACCCATTACAATGTGAGTGTTGTGAGGTTTGCACTAAGAAAATACTTTGAGTGCTCAAATAAAGTTCATCCATCCATCTATCTTCTTCCACTTTATCCGGGCCCGGGTCGCAGGGGCAGCAGCCTAAGCAGAGAAACCCAGACCTCCCTCTCCCCAGCCACCTCCTCCAGCTTATCCGGGGGAACACCAAGGCGTTCCCAGGCCAGCCGAGAGATATAATCTCTCCAGCGTGTCCTGGGTCTGCCCCGGGGCCTCCTCCCGGTGGGACATGCCCGGAACACCTCACCCAGGAGGCGCCCAGGGGGCATCCTTGTCAGATGCTCGAACCACCTCAGCTGGCTCCTTTTGATGTGGAAGAGCAGTGGCTCTACTCTGAGCTGAACTTCTCACCCTATCTCTAAGGGAGAGGCCACCCACCCTTCGGAGGAAGCTAATTTCCGCCGCTTGTATCCGCGATCTTGTTCTTTCGGTCACTACCCACAGCTCGTGGCCATAGGTGAGGGTAGGGACGTAGATCGACCGGTAAATTGAGAGCTTTGCTTTTACATTCAGCTCTCTCTACACCACGACGGACCGGTGCAGCGTCTGCATCACTGCGGCCGCAGCACCAATCCGTCTGTCGATCTCCGGCTCCCTTCTCCCATCACTCGCGAACAAGACCCTGAGATACTTGAACTCATCCCCGACCCGGAGTGGGCACTCCTCCCTTTTCCGGCTGAGAACCATGGCCTCAGATTTGGAGGTGCTGATCTTCATTCCCGATGCTTCACACTCGGCTGCGAACCGTTCCAGTGCAAGCTGGAGGCCATCACGCAATGAAGCCAACAGAACCACATCATCCGCGAAAAGCAGAGATGAGATTCTGAGGCCACCAAAGTGAAAGCCCTCCGCCACTTGGCTGCGCCTAGAAATCCTGTCCATAAAAATTATGAACAGAATTGATGACAAAGGGCAGCCCTGGTGGAGCCCATCACCCACCGGGAACGAGTCCGACTTATTGCCGGCAATGCGAACCAAGCTCTTGCAACGGTTGTATAGGGATCGAATGGCCCGTAGCAATGGGCTATGGGCCACAAATAAAGTTAAAAAGTGCTATATAAGTGCCAGCCCTAACCAAAGTACCCCAAATGGCAAGCCAAACTTTCAAAGCACACTTGTATTCATATCTGTGATAAACAGCCTCTATGTCATCTTTTGAATATTCTGTCAGAGGAAGGTATTTTTAATAACATATTTTTACAGTCACAACCTAACCAGACAGCTATTTTACATTCTTCTGTGGTTTACTCCACAGAAGACTGGATCCCCATCCCCAACAAATGTTATCCTGCTCTCTATTAGCCAGACCCTTTGAAGTCTGCTAATGTAGTCGCACTGACGAAATTGCTTCTCAAAAACAGGTCATCGTGGTAAACAGAACAAAACCCAAAAATGTTTTCAGCAACCCAGATTTTCATTACTTATTATTCTTGATAAACAGGAAGTATTTGTCTATTTTCTGCTTGCAAAAATATAAACAAAACCAAGTGATTGGATTGACTCAGATTTAACAGCAAAAGCTGTCTAAAGTGAACCTTTTGATTAAATGACCCCACTGCTCGCCCTAGTGGTGAGTTTATCAAACAAAACTGCAAAAGTTTACTTCATTACCTTCACAGTTCTAATAATAAAGTCTGGTTGACATAAAATTCCAAGTGGCAACATTTTTGAACTGCTGATTAGTGTAATGTTTTATGTAGCCCTTACTGTGTTCACTAAAGTGACAACTTTTTTTTCTAAACTACTCTCTGTTGCTTCTCAGGTTCAAACCCACATTACAGACCAGAGGTGGTCACGTATCCATATGTCGACTTTGGTAAACACATTCTTGCAATACTCTCTTCCTCAATCCTTTAGAAGAAATCTAGCATGAAATTGCACAGTTTTCCGGCTTCATTTTGTATCAATGTTGAAGGTCTGGAGGTCAGTAAGCAAAGGTTGCTCTCTGCCAATCTGCCTTTCCTCCCCACCTGCATTTCTGA